TTATACCAATAAGATTTTCTCTATCTGCATTGGCCTTGTTAAACTTTTAATTGATATGGAGAATCTCGATACTAATTCGGAACCACTGCAATTTTAAACAAGAAAAATAAATAAATAAGAAGTTGTTTAAACTCAACGCTTGAGTAGGAGATAATAACTCTTACAACCTCGTCGGTTTGCATTGTTTCTTGATATCTGAAAAAGAAAAAAAAACTATGAAAGCTTTCTTAAAACCTTCTTTCCTCATGGTATATATCTTTTTCTCGAGAAACTTACTACTATCAATTTTCCATACTGAAATATTATTTTCACCAACTGTAGATGAGAGGATATAGGTCCCGTCTTTTGTAAAAGCAACACAGCGCAAAACTCTCTACATAGCATTAAAAAGTTCACATTCAAAGGTACAAAATGGTAGGTAAAATGTATAGGTACTCACAAGATCACCAGTACATGTACTCACAAGATCACTAGTAAACATCTCCATGATCTTGCACTGATTGCGACCAGTGCATCTAAAATCTTCAACTTATCAGATACAATGGCCAATAGATTTCTATCTACTATTGAATCTATTTAGAGGAGTAAAAAAAAATTATAAAGTAAACAACGAAAAGCACTATGTCTTCAGACAGACCTTGTGAAACAGACAAAGAAGAGTTAGCATGTGTTGAAGCAATGAAACTATTGGTTCGTTCTCCTCTACGAGGATCAATTACAGAAACGTTCCCATCCGCACCACCACTGTACATGCATGAGTTATTTGCAACTTGAAAAACGGCATTGACATCACATCAGACATGAAATACATATGAATAAATGTCCAAAATCAGTGAGCATCAATAGAGGAAATTTTACAGAGAATTGCAAAGAGAGCAACTACCTAGTAAATAACCAAATAACAAACTGAAAAGTTTACAAATAGATCAGTAGCTTTACTGATATAATTCAACAAAAAAACAGTAAATAAGAAGTCAATGAGAGTTACTCACCCGCAATGACAGTCAATTATCCTCCATTCTATCTCAAGTTATATATGAGATATGAGAGTATACTTTTTCAAGTTATACATGAGCATATAATCTTAATTTCTATATTATGTAAATTCAAATTTGAATTAAAAAAACATGGTATGCTTTATTCCAAAAAAAAATCTTTAAACTTTGCTATTTGTTGTAAATCAAATATTCCTCGCATCGCGAGGATCTTAATCTAGTGATAAATATAGAAACTAAAATGAATAATGATGTATGAAATGGGTAAGTCACCATATAAAAATTAAATAATACTTCGATAAATTAAGATGGGACGACAAATCTTGATTTCAAAAATGTTTTGATTTCTTGCAGCACAAAATGGTACAAAACGGTAAAAACACATTTTGTATGATTGTCGACAAACACCAACTCAACTGCTTATTAGCTACTAATGTCGGGAAGAGAAACCGCAGACAGCATCAGTAGATAATAATGGATAACCAATCGAACCCTAAATATATGAGATGGTGAGAGACATTTATAGAACACATAAACCTCAAAATAACAATTACAGAATAAACTAAAATGCTATCGCTGCGAATTTATGATGTCGATAATATGACACTTAATGGAAGAGAACCCCAAAATAACAATAAACAATTGTTTGTAGAACTTATAATATATATACACATCAATGTCAAGCAGGCAAGGAATAAACTCAAAATCAACTGAAAGTATGGGCAAGCTAGATTTTGAGCAAACAACGCATTTTTTCAATGTACAATAATTTTTTAAAATAAAATTGTTCGTGTATATTCATGAATACGGTATGGCAATGTAAAAACCCAGATAATTTGATAGTTATGTGCGTTACTTGAATTAAATAGACTAATATTTTCATAAAATACCAGAATAAGAGAAAAAGTATGAGATTCGTAAATGTTCATTTGGAATTACATGTATCTATTAATCCAACCAGTTATTTATAAATATAACATCTTAAGATATGAATGAAGAACATTCACGTCAATTACCAAGTGGTTAATAGTCTTAGAGTGAATATTAAATGTCACTAATTCAACTTCATTTGTAAATGGTGATTAATGTGATATTAGAATGTGATTTTGGACGTCAAAATATTAGAATGTGATTTTGGACGTCAAAAAAGATTATGCATGCGCAGAAACTCTGAAACTTTTCTGGTTTATAAAAAACAAAAAAAAAACATTAATGTGAGTTACATGTTTTGCATAGTTACTTTGATAGGACATCATAGTTTAGATAGTGGTCTACTGTTTGAGGTGGAAACTTCAAATTCTTTGGAAGCATTTAATTAAGTGTTGGGGATGCATGCATGAGCTATACAAGAAAAATACACATTTTCTTCTTAAGAAAAACATAATGGGACATCAAATTAAAATTTATGTATTACGGAATTTTCTTTCATTTTTTTTGTAACTTAGCTAAGCATCATAAATACGCATAGATACAAATAAATGGAGGGACTGGGTTTGGTAGGATCATATTGATCCATCCAAAAAATCTGACTCATACGGTTATACCTTTATTGATATACGTCAAAAATTATCTTGAAATATCGCTTACTGGAAGTCTATATAAGTAAAAAGAAATGAGACATATATCGTAATTGACTCTCGGAGAATAAATTATTAATTATAGCAAAAAAAATTGTTTTCAGTGTAAAAAAAAAATTGTTTTATGCATAAAGTCTTTCATATTATAAATATTTTAAGATAATTGTTGGAAAAAAATATGTTACTAATGTTATTTCAAAGCATATTACTGCAAATTTTTGCAACGTGTACATCGGTTTTGGAAAGACCATAAACATATCGCAAGTTTTTGAAATTTAGTAGAAAATATCCAATGGAGAAATATGATTTATGGTCCAATGAAAATGCTGACTCGAATT